TGGATTGACTCAGTGACTGGAGTAATCAGGATGGGTTTGTCAGAGGCAATGAGATCGGCACAGGATAGAGCACGGTTTAGGGCTGTTGTACATAGGGTCGCTATAAGTCGCAAACGACTCGACGGTACATAACAACAACAACATATAACAAATAAAGAAAAAGCTCTACTAAAACATAGAAACAAAGTAGGAGAATTTACAACTCCTGATCACAAAATCTACACAGCCACAGTAATCATAGCAGTCTGATGCACGTAAAGCAACAGATACACAGGCCAGTAGAAAAGAACTCATAGCTTAAAAATTAGTCCACCCATGTTTCAACAACTGATCTTTGACAAAGATAGTTGATTCAATGAGGAAAGGACAGTCTCTTTAACAGTGATCGCAAAATTGACTATTTATTTGCAGAAAACAGAAACTAGATCCATACCCTGTACCACATATAAAAAATCAACTCAAGAATGATTGAGTGTAAAACATGACACTATAAAGAAAAAAAATTAAATACCTGGGGACCAATTTGGTTTTGTTCTTGTTATGTGCTGTCGAGTCACCTGCAACTCATAGCGACGCTATGTACAACAGCCCTAAACCCTGCTCTAACCTATGCCAATCTCACTGTCTCCTATATACTCCCCCCCCCATTACCTCAGCCACTGATTCAAGTCATCTCATCGAGGGTCTTCCTCTCTTGTGCTGTCCCTCCACCCTCCTAAGGATGATGTCCCTCTCCAAGGACTGATCCTGCCTTGCAACATGTCCAAAATATGTCAAGTGAAGCTTCAGAATCCTTGCCTCCAAGAAACAGACTGGTGTCACTCTCTCCAGGATGAACTTGTTAGCAATAAAAAAAATAAAATAAGGATGACAGGAAAAAAGAAAAAAAATACACCTTTGAGCTGGAGAAAAGCACTCAACATCCCATGGATGGCCAACACAACAAACAGATATGGCTTGGAGAGGGTACAGCTGGAGTGTTCTTTGGAGGCAAGCTTCGCCTAACATACTTAAAAGCATATTGTTAAGAGGTGCTAGTCCTTGGAGATGGACATGATGCTGGGAAGGGTGGAGAGTCGGCAAACAAGAGGATTAACACAGTGACTGCTGAACTGAGCTCCTGTGTTTCAGGAAATGTGAGGATGGCACAGGATAGAACAGGGTTCAGATCTTTTATTCATAGGGTCACAATGAGTCATACTCGATGGCACCTAAAAACAACCACAACAAACACAAGTTACAAATATCCAGAGATCAGTTA